TAAATTATGCACTATCACTCGTGAATCGTATCGGGGAACAAAACGTCGTAGAGAGCTTATAGAATATATTTCTTTCAGCAAATAGAGACAAAGGAGGGGAGAGAGAGAGAGAATAAACAATCGGCTACAGCCGGACCAATTATTAGGTATCGATTAGCTGGCGTAGGTAAAAATCAATAATTACTTGAGAGTTTGCGGCGCCTTGACGCTTTTGACGGGCAGACTTATGCCTAGCCGAAGAGAATGACACGAACATAATCGCAAATGCGTTATCGTTTCACCTTCGCACGGTAATGTTTTCTCTGAGAATTGGTCGCGATCTCTACGGTTATTAAAGATTACCATTATCTCGATGCGCTGAAAATTTCTGACGCGAAGCAGGGCAGTCGGAAGACGAAATCTCTCGCGGATGAGTACAACTATTTCTCTGAGGAGAGAAAAGTACGTTTTAGGAAAGAAAACGCAAAAACAAGAAAATTTAGCTTTTAAGTCTGTAAGTCGGATACGGTAGATCGGGACGCTCGTAAGTAATTGAACAATTATCATTAGATAAACGCGTCTGTACATTTTTTTAGAAGACGTTCTTGAACACCTATATCGCGAAATCGCGTCGATGACATTTCAACGTTTTTCATGCATCGGCCTAGCGTCGATCACGCGCGAGGCAAAAAACATTATTCGCGAATCTGTCCCAATATTCGCTCCACCCACGCTTCTCAGAAAGAAAAGCCATGATTTCCGGCGTCATTGGAGTTTTTCCTCTTTATATGCGGAAACAAGATGGTGGCGTAAATCGTTTCTAATGGTGGCATAAACCAACGACGTGCGATGAAACGAGTGACGAAGCCGTCCACTCGGGAAACGATGCTCAGGTGGGAAGATCGCGAAAGGTTTCGCGTCGGCAAATAGAACCGAATTACACGGGACTGGGAGAGCCCTGCTACGGTCGGGAGCTCGCCGAGTGAAAGGTGACGACGGCGCGGAAAAAAATTATGTCACGCGGCGACCCGCAACGCCGCAACGAGCCCAGGGATGGGATTCCCTTGGAACAGAAACGCGCCCTCCACGAAGACTCTACAATTTTGTCGAGGTCCGGTAGATACACCCGAACGAGACGATCCGAGGGTGTGAGAGCGACGAGAGTTCATTCGTCACGTTCGAAAAGCGCATTCGTTACTCGTAACTCGCGCGAGAATAACGGGATCGACACAACGTTCCGTCCGATAGAATCGAAACGAATCTCGCGATAATCCTTTTCCTCCGGTTTTTTCCGATCTCTCTCCTCGACAACTTTCCTCGACAAGGTGACCATCGTGTCCCTTATTGTCTCGGCCATTTTACATGGCGGTCGTCGCACCGATCGCATTTATCATAATTTAACGATCACGACTGATCTTTATTTTATTTGTATCGACGTTTCCATTATTGTTTTATCAATATGTCGTCATTGTCATCGATGTCACATCGATGTTGGTAATTCACGAAAAGTATCCATTAACACCGTCGAACGGAGAAACGAGAGTAAGGTTCTTTTCATCTCACTTCGTTTAATCTCTGGCGTCTCTACTCTTTTTTCCGAGTTTTCTTTTCCCTTTTCTCGCAGTTTCGGCCGACGTAACGCGTCATACGCGATACGCGTACGGTTGTTACATTTCACAAACGGAGGAAACATGGAGACCTCGTGAAAAAACGGCGATGCGCGTGTAGTGCGCGAGGAGGAAGATTCGTACCACTGGATCTTCTTTCTCGTTCTCGTTCTCGTTCTCGTCGCCGTCGTCAATGTATTGTAATCGTCGTCGAGAGAGAAGCAGAGAGAAGAGAGAAGGAGAGAGAAGGAGAAAGAGAGAGACGGTACTTAAAAAATACATCGTAGTACATAAAAACGAGGTCGCACGCTCCTCGCTCGAGGATGCGTGCCTTTTCTTTCGGGTTGCACGAGAAAAGAAAACGGAAGGATGACGAGGACGAGGACGAGGACGAGGATGTCGATGATGACACGGAGGGCAACGTTTCGAATTCGAAGAGGTCGACGAGCATAGGAGCCATGTGGTGTCCGCTGGTCGACCTGTGCTACTCACGGGTGGCGGTTTGATCTTGCAGATGCCAGACCTCTCGGCGATCGGTCGTATCTTGGCGATGTAGGCGAGGGGGTCGTGGAACTCGTCGTTGGTCGGCTCGAAGACCGGTGCTTCCGGCGGCACCGTGAACTCGAAGTCGGTCTCGGTGCGATCGCAAGCCATATCTTGGGCGCAACGCGGTTGATTCCCACAGCCGCGATTCTCAATGCTTCTCGAGCCCATCGTTCGGAGGCACGCTACTTCCGACGCACGCACGTACGCCCGCACTTAAAATTCGAGCGGAAGCCTCGGCACCACGAGTTTCTACTCGACCCGGATTAGTCGCGCGAGCACATTGCCACGAGTTCCCGGATCGATCATGTTCCTCGACGTCGCGGCTCCTGTTCGCTTCTGCCGCTGCTGCTGCTGCTGCTGCTACTTGACAATAAGCTGTTGCTTGACAATAAACGACGCGCGAATCACGCGGATGCAGCATCGACGTTACGTGAAGCTTCACACGACACACACGACTCACCGCGACGACTGCTGATTACCTCCGGCTCTCCTCAGTCCTCTACTCCTCTCTGTGTTACGCTCACGTCGCCTCACCCCTTCCCTCTCCCTGCCCCGCCTCGCCCTGACCCGTCGTACTTGAGCTGCTTGAGCAACGGCTCGACGACCGCGCCATCGGTGGACGAGCGGTGGACGAGCCATAAGATCCGTTTCGTCCGTTTCGTCGTCGATCCTACAGATTTGTCCGCTTTGTGTGGCAGTTGTGGCTGATCGCAGAGTTGCCACATTGCAGACGAGTCACGCGAAAATCGAGTAGAGGTAGAGGGAATGCGCATACGCCATGAAGAAAAGTCACCTACGTAGCTGCGTCGCGCATCCCCATCCCCTCCACCAGATTCATCTTAGCCACCACTCGCCAGGTCGCCACCTTCTTTGTCGCTGCACTGGATTATGTTCGAATTTACCTTCTCGTTCTTTCACTAAACTTTAAACGTATACCCGTTTGATTTTAAACGATACAACGAGTGCACGCTAGTCGAGCGGGTCGAGCTAGAAAGAATAGACCTGGAATCTCGCTGAGTGTCACGTGACCCCGGGATCTTGCGCGGATCGCGGACTACGCGGGGCGGCGGGGTTGCGGGGTGGCGAGGCGCAAGGCGCAAGACGGCGCAAGAGCGCCAAGAGCGTCAAGAGCGGCTGGAGAGCAGCGCGTCGGAAAGGATGCGCTTTATTATTTTTCGCTTCGCGACAATGATTGCGTAATGTATCGTCGAGTATCGTACGAAGGCTGCGCGCTCACGGGAAAAGACGTCTCGCTCGCTAGATGATCAACTGTTTCACGCGTGCGCACTTTCGCAGCCGCAGCGTCGATCAGCGTCGATCAGCGTCGATCGGCGTCGATTGCTTGGCGCAGCTTGGCAGTTCCGCGGTTGGCGTCAATTGGCGTCAATCCGCGATGGATCGGATAGATGATCCATCACGAGGGAGAAAGAGACGTAGGTTCGGCAGGTCGTACATTTCGGCCCGTATTCAGAACGCGCTTTTATCTCTGAAATTCTATAATACGCGTGACGTTAAGTATAGTATGTTAGCGCGTTCCGAGTACGGGCCTTCATTTTCGTCAACGAGCTATATGTGCGACGAAAATGCGTCCAAATACGTGGGCATCGTCGTACGTACGTACGTACGTACTTACCCACGACGATCAGTACCGTATGACGCGTTTTTTTTGTAACCGCAAAATAAGAAATAGACATTTAACATGACGAAAGAACAATAGTTTACTTATATATCAAGTATTTCCGAAATCGCAACAAACTTCAATATTACCTATACGCATTAATTATGCCGACTTATCCAATGAGAAAGAAGAAAGTATTTCCTAGGGCAGATTGCTTTAGCTAGTGTTTTTGAATCATTTGGTCCGTTTTCTCTTCCCGCGCTAGACTGCATCAAGCCCAATGTCCACGATGCTGGAACTCGGTCCGAGTTCTCGGATCGAGAAATGTGTAGCCAATCAGCTTACAGTTTTTACGGAAAATCGGCGAGTTGATTGGATACACGTTTCTCGATCCGAGAATTTATCGTGGACATTGGGCTTTAGTGTTAAGGTGAAATCACACGATGCGGAAAAAGACTGCGGAATAGAGAATGCGTCATTGAAGCAACCAATCAACGCTATTCAGCGCTAATCGGAATAGCGCTGATTGGTTGCTTCAATGACGCATTCTCTATTCCGCAGTCTTTTTCCGCACCGTGTGATTTCACCCTTATTACATGAGTGCGGAAACACGGAAATACGGAAACGCGCAACCAATCGGTAATCGGTGAAACGCGAAACCATAACAGCGGATTGCTTCTGATTGGTTACGCGTTTCCGCGTTCATGTAATAGCACCCTTAGAGTTCTAAGGCCCTGCGCACAATAGAAGGAATTGGGAATAAAGAATAATTACGATTTTAACCAATCAGAAATCGGATACATCGGCATACTCCTTCTATCGTGCGCAGGGCCTTAGAACTCTCTTTCTCGCTTTCGACAAATATCAAACGCGTATCTGTCTCACTTTAAGTACGTACCCTTCAAAAAGTGTACGTACGTACATACATACTACATACACAATGGCCTGTTCTTCTGGCTGAACTTTTGCCAGTTCATCTTTCTTCCTCTTCTTTCCTCCTGGAGAGATTGTGTTTCCAGCTTTAGTTCAGCCACACACAGAAAACAGCTAGACTCTCGTATCGAACGTGCAACCGGTGCAACCGGTGCAACAGTGCCAGCAGTATAATGCAATACCCTGTTTAACCATCAGATGGCACGTCATACAAAAGTGTGGAGAATCGAACATAATAAAGGTATCACGTTACGGCGATCGAGACGTTTCTCTTCGCTTCTCTTTCCTTCTCTTGCGTATTTCTGTGAGTATAAAAAAGTTACATAATTATTTTATGTTCTTGACATTGCGTCTTGCGTTTTACTAAAATTCTCGAAATGTAAATTTGGAAAGACGTTTTGAAAAATATTCGTTACAATTGTACGAAATTGTACGGTTATGTTCGTTGTAAGGTTGTAACAAGTATGTATTTTCTAGACTTTAGTCAACATGGGGAAGCAGTTTGGAAGTCTTTACAAAATTAATGGCATCGTCTTCTTTCGTCTAAGTCCACACGAGCAAAAAGTCTTCAAAGGATTCGTATCCGAAGGTGTACCAAATCTAATTCGTCGCTTCCAAGGCAGTGTACTTAAGGTTGCACCTTGTAAGTATATTTAATAATTGCATATTTAATAAATCATTTATTTCATAATTTAACATCTTAATCTTTCTCTTTGTTACAGTTTTCATGTTTTCCTATTTGCTCGTGAATTGGGCGAATGAGAAGAATCTTGCTCTTTCTCGCAAAAATCCTAAGGACTATGAAAACGATACGTAAATATATGATATAGTTGAATTTCCAGTTGACACTTAGTTTTTAATGTGAAATGTATCAATTGATCTTATCTTTAATTCTGAAATAAAAGAATTAATAATATTGTATCGAAAGTAATATATATGTGTATATGGAAATATCGGGGAAATATTTCTTCATAAATTTGTTGCTTTCCTCTTTTGTGGGTAAAGCAATAAAAAGTAATCGACGCGAGTCGATTACGTTTGTACTTGGATCCGTTTTTATTCAGTGAATTTAATTGTCTGTACAAATATTTTGTGTTTTTGTGTTTTCGATTACAGTTACTTAACAAAAATGAAGATACGATGTCTGTACCACTGCCAGTTAGACAAATAGTTAAATATGAATAATTAGATATTGTAACAAAATCTTGTTACAATTCGTTTAGATTTTCAGACTTATTGGGTTAATATTTCTTAATTTTTAAATCTATAAATTTTAAATCGAGACAATTTTCTTTTTTTAAGATCGATGCTGATCACTAAACTCTCCTTAGATCCAGAATATAAATGCCATTTTCCTCAAAGCGATGTAATGACTTGGTCTCACTTGCGCTATAATTTGTTTTGTTATTGATAAAACATAATTAAAAGATTTGTTGTTACAACGTCCGTTATGTACGCGCGACATTGTTAAATAGGCCGCCATTTATCCAATCCGGTCAATTAAACTGCATTCTCAACAGGTGTTTCCCTTTCCTCAAATTACACATTCTTTATAGTCCCCCTTTGTAACAGGTAGTTCTATTGGTTCAAGATACCGATCTTCGGATTTCTTCGTCTTTCATGGCGTATACGGTGCAACTTGATCGTAGCGCCTCGCGCTACGACTGAAAGTACCATATGATTAACGTGCAAATCGATATACCTGTTATTCGATTAAATGTAACTGTAATTATTCGTGTTATTCCATTTTCGCAAAAAGAAAAAAAAATAAATAAAAGTTGAAGAGACGAAGACGTAGCAGGCTTATCGGTAAATCGAGAAATTCGTCGTGCAGTGGTGCGGCATTCGGCGGCATTCGACATACGAGATCGTACGATCCTGAAGCATCGTGGCGAAGATCGCCGATTCGAACGAGTCCGACCGCCATGTCGGTCCGCTAGACGTTCAACCAATGGCACGTCGCGTTACCTGCGGCGCACCTGGAGCAGGTAACGTTACGACGGTGCGTCGTTCGCGGATTACGATCGGAATTCGGATTAGTCGCCGGAGTATTCGCGGTCGAGCATGTTCGGGACGTAGCTCCGCTGCTAGTTTTCTGTCGCCTCGGGATCGAGTGCCTCCCTCTCCCCGGCCCTCTGCCTGTTTCCGTCTCTGAAGGTGCGCCGGGTGCGCGTGGCGCGTGCAGTGCGTTGTGAAAGATTTGTAAATAAGGTAAGCGATCTCCCGTTCGTCGCGCGCTCGCTTTATGCAGCTTTATACGATCGTGCGTCTTCTCTCATCTATTTTGTTCTCTCCGACAAAAATCTCCGCGAGTCTCACGATGCTCAGGAAATTACACGAGACCGTCGCCGTCGTGACGTCGTGACGTGACGCTCGAAACAGCACCGTTGTAACTTGCAACGCCGCAAAGAGTCCGGTCGCGCACACCTGTTGCCGTCTTCGCTCTTACGTTGCGTTGCGTTGCGTTGCGTTGCGTTGCGTTTCGTTCCGTTGCGTGCCGTGCCTGATCCCGATTACTCCTGATTACTCCTCGTCTGCGTCGCCTGCGACCGACGAAAGTCGAGACTCGAGAGGACTACGCACAGCAGATAAAAATCGCGCGTATTATCCCACCGTTGCGTTGTGGCGTATCAACGCCATCCAACTTGGAAACTCTTGCAAGTCGGACGTGCCATACTCGCTCCTTGACGTCGCATTTTCGCTCCAAATCACATGATCGCATCATCGACGTGACATTCGTAGTACTCGAATCTACGCGATGGGAGGGGTGTACCAACAAAATCCAAGGGTCACGTCCGAATTGTGTCATCGCCACAAAATATCACAACAGGACGTGTACAAACGAAACTGATACCGACTTGAGTGAGGAAGGACACAAAATAACTGAATAACTTTTTGCGCGCCGGCTTTGCCTTTTCATTTTGAATTCACCGATGCGGAATTTGTAGCACAACCGGAAATGTGTAATTATTGAAGAAAAAAAGAATAGAAACCTCTCGATATTTACCCGTTAGGGTGGCATGTTTAAACTCGCTAATCCGACGTCAAATTGTAATTGTATAAACAAAGCTAAAAACGACGAGAGAATTCTCTCTAGCTAGCTTTAAATTGCTTTTTAATTTGAAATTATTAATTAAAATTTTAGTTTCTCAGAGAGAAGGAATTTGTATTGGCGTAGAACGTAGGGTTTTACAAATAAAATTGAAGATGACGACAAAGCTAATTCGATTACTATTGCCTCGATACTATTGTATGAATCATAAACGTGAATCATACGACTTGTTTTACGTACTCGAACGCATCTAATATCTCTCTTCAGTTTCATAACGTTTCGAAAAAATAATTTAAAGATCATCCGTAAGGTAATTCTGTTCGAATAGTAAAACTACACGAGAGAGAGGAGAGTATAATCGATACGTTTCTCCGATGACATTAAAACGAACGAAAGGATTGCTTGTACGAGGCGCAATTAACTAATTAAAGATTAAAGAATGCTATTAAGATTGAACTTCCTAATTGGACGATACGGGATCTTGATTGTCGGATAATTCATTGTATCCAGATCACGTCTTGATTTCTCCCGAGTCTCTATCTCCATTAAAATATTGAAAGAAACGTGTACATCGTTATACATTTGTATAACAGTTAAAACCATATTGTATAATTTTTATTAGTTTCTATTATCGATAGAAGCTCGGCTGTAAAATCGACAACTGAAATAGTCATTATGACATAATTGAGGGGATTGGCGGAATAAAGGCACAATTCTACTTAGGCCTTTTTTCCGGAGATTAGTGCAAATTAACAAAGAATCGATGTTGCTTACATTAGTTAAATCTGAACGTGTTTCGATGATTCTCCTGTGATGGTGAAAATGATATAATCTATGGAAAAAGGGCATGAATCATTTAAAATCATTAATGAGATTTTTAGCAGAGACTTAACGGAAATGGTACAACAATAATGTGTTTTCATTACAACAAATTTATGTTAAAAAATCTTACGAAAACTCATTAGACGATTAAACATTATTTCAATTTATTTTGCACGAGTAAAAGTAAAAGGTATTTCATATTCATTTTGTATTTCTTTTAGAAAAATGTGAAAATAAAAAAATTTCTGCAGTTCATAATCTTTTCTTTCTGTCGATTCTTACAATATTATAATTAATATTCGGAAAAAGGGACTAAGTGCATTTTTTAAATTGCAAATAATTTTTTAAACATTGATCATAATAGAGAAATATTATGACGTAACTTCTCAAGGACATTATATAAATATACATTTAATACTGTTCCCATTTGTGGTATAATAAAAAAGTAACAAGTTATTTTAATTTTTATCAAACTTAAAATTTTGTAATTAGGCCTTTATTCCGCCCATCCCCTCAATTGTAAAACTTTCAAAAATTATAATTTTCATTAATGCAAACGAAATTTCTGTGCAAAAATTTTACGAGCAAATCTTTTAACGAGAAAGTACTCTTCAATCTCAAAAATCAATCGTAAAGATTATTCTTTTGTAAATGGCACGAACGTAACAAGGACAATAATGACATACGCTATTTATAATAGGCGCGCGCGGTCACTATACAATTGTGATGTCGATAAGCTAATTCTTATCGGGCTATCATTATTATGATCTGATGATTCACCGATTGCCGACCTTTAATCATCCTCATTTTATCTCGCGATTGTAAAACGCGCAATTTCTTTCCCCCTTATCCGCGACCTGTAAGCTTTTAATCAAATTCGAATATCAGTTAGCAGTTTCAAAACTCTATCTATTATCTATAAATAACAGTTATATACGAGTAATAGCTAACTACGTGTAGAATATAGCTTGATTGTACGGTCTTAATTTAATTCTACATTATTTAAAATTAAACTTGGATATATATAAAAATAAATCACCGTAATCATACGGTATGAATGTCCATTCCATAAAGATATAAGTTACGTATAATTACACGTTCAAACATCTCTCCCGTTCATTGTATGTAGTAGGTATAGCCTTTTTTGTCACAGCCTTCCCTTTGTTATATATTCTTAAAATTTTTTTTTTAAATATACAACATAAATCGTAAAGTACTCTTCTTAAAAGACGGTCATTGCGTTTGTCAAGACGCAATCGCATCGTAGGATCTCGTAAAGAGAGATCTCGCGCTGTCTCGCAGTATCCGTAGCTCGGAGCCACACGAAAATCGTATGGATCGTACGTAATGTCGGCGCCTTTTCATTGAGCAGGTTTAAGTCCACGACGGGGACGTGTCTCGTAAGGCGAGAAGAGCAATAAACATCTCCAAGTTCTCCGTTAGGTCTCGGTTCCCCGCCCGTGACATTTACGAGCTGCATTCCTATCGCGGCACGACTGTATTGTTCGTCTTTAATCGGTAATGGTGCGCATAATCGTTGTCGAGTCTTCTCTCGCGAAACTTTTATCTCGAAAACGCGAAAACGTATGTCATATTATTGTGAAGATCGCGTGCATGCGTTATTTGCGTTTGGTTCGACACGCACCGACGCGGTCGTCGTCGTCGTCGTCAGACAACTTCCCAAGAAGCAAGGAAGATAAATTTCAACCTCTGTTCCGTGCTGGAAGAAAATACACCGGCCGGCGCGGCGTACCGCGACTTGATCGAACTTATCCGAGTTGTCTATAGCATCCCACTGTGTCGAACGACACCTGTAATTCACGCCTACGAAATGCCTACGTAATCTCCCACGTGAGACTAACGATGTCGTGACACGGATCACGAATGCTTATTATTGACTGTAACGCATGGATCAATTCTAGTTCTTTCGAATGCTGTCGATGCAGGATTTACGGAATTTGAACTGTTATTGTTCTTGAATTTATATCGCTGATAAATAGACAGCTAATACAATATTTTAATATCCCTTTCGATGAAAAAAAAAGTAAAATTTAGTTATTTCATTCATGTTTTAAAATGACATTTTCTGATATTCTAACAGAAAATTATAATGGCCATACCATTCCTTTATTGATATTATTTTAATTAAATGTGTCAAATTGTAATGCAAAGTAGTTTCCAAACATTCCTCTCTTTATTCGCGTGTATTTGCCTTTAATGTCGCCCTGGTTTCTCACTCTGGCATACGTATGGAAAATGTAGTTTCACGTAGCAGTAGTTTGTTGACCTCCTAGTACATCTGTGATTCCGTGACACACATTACGAATATTTATCAAGTTCCATTGATGTAATTTTTCAATCAAACATTATCTGCTTGGATATCGAGAAATGTTTACATTTTTAGGTTCTTTGTAAGTATTTTTACATTTACAATTAGTTTAATAAATGTAATAAATATTTATAGTATACATATATATATAATATATATACCTTTTTTTCTTTGCAAATTTCGGTAATTTCAATACGTTTCATATTATACCTACATATATAATTCACTTAACACATTATATAAATCACTTAGCAAACATGTTCATTCACTGGGCAGCTTTGGCGAATTGCCGCGGAAATTGATGTCGATATATTTTCATTTTTATTACATCTATTAGAACAGCGGAAAATAAGAATGTAATTATTTATCTTCCGAACGTCTAGTTGAGTTAAAATCAATTTTTTAAACAACGCTAAATCTCTAAGTACAGTATTCGATACAATCAATGCATTCCTTGTGAAATTATTTGTCAAATTATAAAATTTTTATGTTCGTGCAACATAATTGCGAGAGAGAGAGAGAGGGAGAGAGAGAGAGGGAGAGAGAGAGAGAGAGATATATTATCGCAAGTACGAGTTACACTTGCCATTGTGAAAATCACTTCAAATACATTTTCGTAATCTTGCTGACTTTTTTTCGCCTGCGGGCTCTGCTATCTCGAAAACGTCATTACATGCATACGGGAGCATTCCACATGAGCGTATTTCCGAAAGATTTATTTACGCTCGTGAACGAATCCTTTTCACGTCAATGTGATGACATCATTTCTTTATTTTCTAGGTAAAATTACTAGGTTCTTAATTTTCTACGTAAAGCTACTAGAGAATCATATAGAAGTGCCAGAGATCTCTACTACAAGTTCATTAAACTCTGGCTCGCACCTTTCTGTAATTAAGCGCGATGAAAATTAATGTAAAATGTACAATTAAAATTAATATTTTCATTTTGGAATATATATATGTATATATATATATATTGTAATTATCTCGAGTAATCTCAAATCGATGA